GAGTTATCATAAACCAACATGCAGCTCTATGCTCGAAGTGCTTATAGTCTAATGAGAAAACCAATTCATACATGTACATACATGCATGCATGGATAACAAACAAATTCATAATTAACATATAAGTATATGCACATACAGGTGAGATAAATAAACACTTGGAAGCAGTGTGTGTTCACGCACAACGAGTGTGCTAATGAGTGCCTGTCTCTCCTCCAAGTCCCCAAGAGGGATGTGTCATTGCCATTTTCATTTGCCAGGAACAAAGCAGGGAATTGGTAAATGTTAGTTGAATGGAAGTGAAATAATAGGTAGCATGGGAACTGAGAAGAGAGAAGTCTTCATAGTTAATAAAGGTCGGAGTGTTTCCAGGGGCAGCACTGAGCTGCCAGAGGGGGTGGAGAGAGGGAAAAGAGGAGAGAGGCTCAGCTGACGCCCTCCCTCCCACCCCGAGTAATTGAACCAATTTTCTCTGTTCTCACATACTCCTTCAGGTTGCCTGGGAGTGAATTTAAAAGCTGCAAACAGGATGCTGATCTCCCTCAATCATCCATCTTCAAAAGCTCCCAGAGCCCCGCAGCTTTTCAAACCCACAGAAATAAATTCCCTGGAAGCGACTCCCCTGCTGCCTGTCCTCTCTGCGGGAGCATGCAGCCGAGCGTGAGGCTGGTGCCCCAGAGCCATCTGTCACAGGGCGTTAGCCCCGTGAGTGCGCTCCGTGCTCGCACTGCGGTGGATGCAAACGCCCGCGGCCGGCTCCGCACCAGGCTCAGCCTGGCCTCTCCTCTTTGGAGCCAGTTCTAGTGTCAGTCCCCAAACAGCATGGGGTGACACGGCTGGCCCTGAAGAGGCCGATCCTTCAAATCAGCACCGAGGGGAACAAACAAAGATGCCAAAGACCAAAGAGTAGCCCCCAGCAGGCAGCCTGAGCCAGAGCGTTCAGAATTTGCCCGGTGCATCTCCCAAAGCATGGTGTCGACATGGGGACATGGGGACAAGGAGAGCGTGGCTGCAGCATTTCGGGAGGGATACAGGCCCACACGGACCAGGCTCCTCTGGGTTCTGCTCTGCTGAAGAGAACGGCGCACCCAGCCTGTTGGAGCATAGAGCTGGAAAATGTGAGACCCTCCTGGACCCCCGGGGAGGGGAGAGGACCCTTTCCCCACCCCAGCCCTGCAGAGAATGGGGCTCCTTCCCGTGATGACTGCTCACAACTTTTTTGTTTTAAATTAGATTTGGCAGAGAGGCTTTTGACAACCACTGAGCCTATTCTGTTTTCCCTTCTCTGTTTATTGGAAATTTGGGACCCAGTGGGGGTTGTGAGTGAGGCAATGGCTGTGCAGGGTCGCTTCACCCACCGGCACCCCCTTGCCCAGTGCTCAGCTCGGCTCGGTGTCCGTTTCCTTCCGAGACACAGGAACTGAGAGCAGCATTTACCTTCCAACCCTCCTGGCCCAAGATTTCCCCAAATTGCTGGCGTACTTAAAACAAAGCCACCACGTGACCGGGACTCGCAGCCAGTAATCTCACCTTGTCTCTCTCAGCGGCGCCCTCTGCCGGCCCCTCCTAGTATTGCTGGTGATCCCGCCTGCCCCCGGGGAGGGCTCCTGGGGCTGTCACCCTTCCCTGCCTGGTTCCTTTGCTGCGGTGGCTGCAGCCTTCCTCACCAGACCACATTAGCCACCAGCAGCGCCATTATTAAACCATGCACTAAGTGGCGGCCAACCTGTCCGTAAAATGGGGATGCTGCTTACCCCCAGGGCACTTATTGGAAGCAATGGATTGATGTTTCTCTCTCTCTCTCAAGGTTTGGAGACCTTGGTGACAAAAGTACTGTAAAACACTCTACTGCTTCACCCCACACACAGCAAGTGCAGGAACACGTGGCTGTAATGCATTCTAACTCTCCTCTCAGAACGGCACCCCGCAAGGGCGCCACTCTATTGCTGGTGCTGAAACGACTCAGGGAAGGGTGCCCCCGACCCCATCCTCCTGAGTCTCCACTGCCTTCTCTGGACATCAGGGCTGGGGCTCTTGTGGTGGACAGAAAGAAGTCATTTCACAAGTCCTGAGACCAGCCCTCGCACATGGGAACTTACTATTTGGGGGGCGATCCCAGAGGAAGCCCCCCTTCCTGCCAGGGTACCACGGCAGGGGCGGGACACATCAGTTCACTCAGTATTTACTGAGCACTTTCTCCATGGGCAATGTGGCCCTGGGAGCTGGACCGTACTCAGTGCAGGAAGCAGATGCTCCTGCCTGCAAGGAGCTTATGTGACAGCAGGGGAGGGCAGTGGGGACAATCAACACATAGTCTGAATCAATAGAAATACATTGATACAGATGAATCCCTTTGCAGCGTCGCAGTTTCATTCCGACGGAACGGCCGTAACAACCTCGCCCATCACTTCAGGCCACACGTGTGGGTGATAGAGTTCTGCACTGATTTAAGCGTCTCCTTTAAAAACCCACGTGGGCAGAAGAGCAGGCCCGGGAAAGTGTGCGATGCACCCACAATGACGTGGAGAAAGGTCCAGTTTATACAAATGTTTGACCACGTTCTGCAAACCTGAAACTCGGGAGAATGCAGGTATAAAAGGTATTTCAAAGGCTGGTTCAAGAACTTAAAAAAAAAAATAGTCTGCATAACATAAAACACTGAGAAAGAACCGACCTCAGCAGCTCTCTACCCTGCAGCAATCTTTCCCAAACAATGGAGCTGGTTCTGTGGAGGGTTATCTGAGGGAGAAAGCATGTGCTTCTAAAGAATACTGTGTATTGAGAAGAAGATGCCTTCAAGAACCTTTGTTTGCTGTAGATATTCACACACACACAGCGATTTTTTATGTTTTTCCTAATCCCTGTTTTCTGTGAGAAGTTGGCATTTCCATCAGAGCTCCGCCTGCCACGGAACACTCCAGCTCCCACTCCTTGCTTGGCGGATGCTTCTTGCCTGGGAGTCAGCTTACATGTCACCCCCTCCTGAGAAGCCCTTCTGACGACGTAGGAGCGACCCTTCAGCCCACACTCCTCACCCACCCCATCACTTCCTTTCAGAAGGAAAGGAAGAGCTAAATATAACTAGAAATGATCTGTCACTCATTCATTTCTATGTTCACTTGTTTATCGTGTGTCTGCCTCCACTGGAAGATAAGCTCCATGGGAAGAGGAAACTTACCTTGCTTGCTCTCTCTCCAGCTCCTAAAACTGTGTTGGGCAAGAGTAAAATGCTCAATAAATATTTGCTGAATGAACCAATGACAGCCTGTCAGATTTCATTTAGCCAAGCAGCTTGGAATTTGCTGCCACCTCAAGCAACAATCTTACTTCCCCTTCAATTTTGATCCCTCCCTCCTCAGTCTGGTTCACACCTGGTCCCAATGCTCCCGGAGCACCTCTCCAAGGTCCACCACAACTCCTTCAAGGTCAGGCCCGATGGCTTTTCCTCAGCCTCAGCTTCTTTGACTTATCTCTAGATTTGACAGTGAGGAACTTTGCTGAGATGCTTCATACAGATGTGACCCTAGACTAAGCTGAGCCCTTTGCACTTGTTTTTATTCTGCCTCCTTAAATATGCATTCTTCCCACGGGCCTGAGAGTATTTCTTGAGGTTCTGTCCTTAGAGCTTTGCTCACATAAATGATTGCGTCTACTGCTCCCTCTTGATCACCTCTGCTCTGGGTGATACTCACAGGACTCAGGATGGAGGTTCACAAATGGCAGTTCCTTTGCCCGAGGCACAAGTAGAATTGTTTCTTTGCTTGCATTTTCTCTCGGGAATGATTCTGTGACTTAACTATTGCCACTGAAATGTGAGATGAAGTACCATTTGTTGCTTCTGGGCAGCAGCTTTATGATCTGGCCCTTGGCTTGGCAAGTGCCTTTTTCCCAGTCTCTGATCACCGAGAATATGTGGAGATGGAGCCCCCATTAGACTGAGTCCTGGAGAAATCAGGATGAACAGTTTCACTGCTCAACAGCAGTGGCCATGGAGCATGAGATACAAATAAGCCAGTTTCAAGCTGCTGGGATTTTAGTGTGGCTCTTGTTACTGCAGCATAACCTGGCCTATCCTGACTGATACAGCAGGCCAATCTGACTTTCTTCCCTTCAAGCTAAAGCTACACTTCAGCTGTCATTGAGATAGAAATCTTTTCCACTTATAGAAGTATAAGCCCAACATATCTTTACCTACACTCATCATTTCCCTCCTCGACCCTGAAACATACCTCTCCTCCGACTTTTGTTTTGTTTAGTGGCACCAACATTCTTCTAAAAACCCGAACTTTATTTATACCTGTGGTTACATTTTGTCCCAGATTTCTTTCCAACCCTGCTTTGTTGTCCCCACAAGTGCTTCCCGGGTCCAGCCTTAGTCCCTTCCTTCCTGGACTATTACACCTCGAGTTATCTCGCCGCTTCCGATCTCTCTGCTTTATGATCAAGTATACTTCCTTTGTCACCGGCCATTCATGAATAGGATAAAGGGAAAAATCTAGGTCTTGTTATTCCTTTGCATTGCTGCTCCCCCACCACAGCGGAACTGACACCTCAGTGGAAACACAGTATAACGTCAACTGTCACCCTCGTCATTGTCACCCAGGAAACCAGAGCCAGCACATGACTCTGTGAGTCTGCTACCCATGGACGCCACGCTGACTCAGAAATCGCCCGTTTTACTCACAAACTCTGCGAGCTGCTGAGTCATTTAATCAGAAAGTACCCCAATCTGGAATAACAAGTTTGTTTTTTTTTAATTAGCAAGTTTTAATGATCTGAGCAGAAATCCTTCAGTACTTTAAAGAAATGCTCTACTGAAGGCCATTTGCTAAGACTGGCAGTCTGCTTCTGTTATGGGGATGTAGAGGAGATCCTCTTGTTGGCTCTAAATTATGGGGTTCGGGGGATGGGCTGCAGCAGGCTCGGGGATGTGTCGGGGGGAAGCCGGAGAAAGCCGTGCATACAACGTCTGTAAAGAAAATGTTTTATTTAAAGTGTTAAATACCATCACCAGAATGAATTTGATTTACATTAGTTGGTGTTCATTACAGGACTAATCTGCCCTTTTTTCCCCAACTGGAAGTCCCTTTACTTTTCAAACACACTATGCACAGGGCAGCGAGGGTCACTGGAGCAGTGCTATTTACATGGCTAAACCACAAGTCGAGGTACAGACATGTGAAAATTAAAAAAAAAACAACACCAACTTTTAAATAAATACTGCATAATGACGAGTATGTACAAATATTCCATACAGTCATGTCCTTCTTATTAAAATTAGAAATAATTTATATAGGAATATGCACAAAAGATTATGTGACTGTGCCTTTGTATCAGGAAAATGGTAAACGTTTATTCTAAGGGAGCGCATAGACACTACAGGTCTATTAAACCAATTGCTGCTGGTACACAAGTGTCTAAAGTACTTCAGTGGCGTTTTACTCTGAACAGCTTTACCGGGGCCTATCTCACAATGCCAAGACACAGTCTCGGTGAGTTCATATTGCACCACGTAAAGAGAAGGCATTTTTCGTGATACTCATTTTAACTTTTGCACCATATCAAGCATGATAGTTTTTAATGGTCAGCACTGAATTTAAAAACAAAACAAAACAAAAAAAAGCAATTTTTGTGCATGGCATCAGTTTAAAGAAATGGTATGTGGATTTCAAAAGTTATTGCAAGAAATGCAAATCAGTGTAAGAACGTGCTATCACGTGTACATAAAGAAGCAGAAAGTGCGGGCGGTTCACCACACTCACCAGTGACCTTTCCTTTACACAAGGGAACGCAGAGAAATTTGACCTTGCAGCACCACCCGATGGTAACAACAGCTGTCTGTAAAATCAAAGGCAGGGGTGTGACTTTGGGGGATTGGTGAGTAGACTTTTGGTGATGGCTTCAAAGAACGATTAATAGGCAGACTGACTTTCTTTGAGTTATCTAAAAATTGGAGCCTTAAAATGATTGGTTGTAAATTCCTGTTTACTGTATTTCTTTAGAAATATAATTTGTGCAAAATTGAATTTTTACTACAGAAAAAATGAATTAATAAACAACAGTGTCTCAGGGCTCCAAAGTTTTAGAAGTGTCTCTATCCACATAGTAAATGGAAACTGGGTAAAGAAATTGCTTTAATTAATTAAAAAAACCTCCAAAACCTAAGACTGTCTAGAAATAATGCTTTAACCCCTGTATGAATGATGCTGGTGCTAAAAACAAATTGATTAGACATTACAATGGCCACATGAATTTGGAATTTCCTGTAAACTAAATTTTGAAGGTGAAAATAAAATCACCATGCACTGTACAACAGATTGCAAAAGTTCAAATGTCTTCTTTATCAAACACATGCTGACTTACTTTAATCTATTCCCAAGTCATGTTGCGAAATCCTTTTCAACATGCTTGAAATAAAGAAAGCTCTTAAATATTTTCCCTTGAGAATTTGCAAATTCAGAAGCATGTAGAGCTCTGAATCAAAAATGGGGTACAACAGAGTATCAGGTCAAAAACTCGCCGTTTTTTTAGTATAATGTTCACTCTGGTAGGGAGAAAGGAAGTACAAGATTGAGAGAGAGAGGAGGGGAAAAACGAGAGGTGGACAATTTGCACATACTGAACTTCATTAGATTTGTATATTTAACATGGAAATAAATTGAATATATACTTGTCACATAAAGAGAATTTTAAGTATTTTCTAGAAAGTATTTTCATTTGTAATGTCTGCCAAAACACAGACTATGATTTATAGTTTAAAGAATAAACATGGTGTGTCTTTGTATCACCCTGTTGCATTCTCTCCCCTTTTAAAACCATGCATTAGTGAAATTTATTTTTAAAAATAATATAAATTGTTGAAAATGGCTGATTTTTATTCTTGTTTTTTTTTTGCAAGTTGCAGCCCCAAGAAAATAATTTAAGTATTCAGCTAATCTGTGTCCATGCAAAAAAAGTTTCGTTAATTTCATTCAGTACAGTGTCGCCAGAGTTCTGTTTCCCAGAGGCCCACAGTCCTGGCGGTACAGAAGGACACGCCCGCTGGAGCTCTGACCCGGCCGCCGCTCACGCTGGCCCGGCCGCCCCTGGTCGCCGTCCAGGGGCGGGCTGGCGGCTTGTCCCGGACCACGTCTTTGGTCTCCTGCTTTGCACCTGATGCTTCCTAGGACTTTGCTCCTTGACCTGTAACATGGCTGAGTGGCTGTAGAGCTCCATTTGTGTGGCATAGCAGGGCTTCGGGGTCAAGAGAAATGAAGAAAAACGAACGATAAAAATATAACGGTGCCATTGAAAAGGGCTTTTGTTGCATGAAACTGACTGATTCTTTGAGATTAATCCATGGCTTCGGGTTGGACCAAAATCTGAGTGTCACTGAACTCCGGACCTGACAGCTCTTCATAGCTCTGTTCTTTCACCTGAGGGCCTTCTTCAGGGCACAATGTGTGCGACTTCCTCTGAGAACACAGGACCGCTCTGTAGCCCGAGAAACAGGCTCAGAAGACACAACGTTAAGCATGCAGTGTTACCAGGGTTAGCGACCTGGGATTTTTTTTGTAACGCTGGTTGCTATGACAACAGTTTTACAGCTGCTATGAACGGGAGTAAGAAGGTCCGGTTGAACTTTCCAGAGATGATTGGGAAGCTCTTCTCGTCAGAGGGGCCAAGGTTGGATCTACTAGGGAGGAAGGGGGGAAAAGTTTGTACCATCCAATCACCATGTTGGATAGCTCCAGTTCATCCAAAAGTATCTGGGCCACTCCCATGAAAGATTTGTGGTCCATGCGGCCATAGTCTCCCCAGACAATGATCTATTGGCAAAATAAAAAGGAGAGTAATGTCAGTGTGATCCTGTACACAAAAACTTGTAAATTAAAATACATTCAGTTAACGTGCTCCCACCAAACACCAGGTTAAACAGTCGCACTGGCTACAGGGTGGCTGGCCCTCACCACACGAGTGCAAGGGTACACGAGGAAAACCGTGGGATGTGGAACCAGACAGCAGTCCGGGAAGATTGGCGTTTATGCGTGATGGCGGTTTGCAAGTCTGTGTACCTCACGCTGAAGGAAACAACAGGGTCCACAGCTCTACAGCACTGGCCCCTGCTTTGAAGCTACCCAAGAACTTCAGGTGTGAGGAGCGGGAAATGATAGCAGAAGTGAAGATGTTGGGTAGAAGGTCTGACCCCCATGAAAATGTTTTCTTAGGTAAGGGATAAACAAGTCAGTAAATACCTGTAAAACCTTCCCTTGGGGACTTTCTTCGAAAGATAATAGCTGCTGGTATAGGGGTTCCAGCGTTTTTCTTGCCACTTTTGTCTTCTTTTTGGCCACACAGACTCCGTTATCGAGCAGATACACCTTTACATATGGTGCTTGGGACAGAAAACACAGAGGAGAGGTAAGGGGTGAGCTGTGGTTATGGAACACCCAGCTCCTGGGTGACATCTGTAACTACTCAACCTTAGCCTGGAAAAGCTGGCAGCCCAAAGTCACTGGCCCTTCTGCATCCCATCAGCATCATTTCGTCAATGACAGATAACCGTCAGCGATCTGGGCAGTTTGGGGCAGCGCTGACCTGGCCTCTGAACTGATTATTATTTTGCCATCAACTGGTTACGTACATTTGAACTCTGCATAAAACTGAGGTGAAATGCTTCTAGTCCCTAATAACATTCAAAGGAGATGTCTTAATCTTTCATTTTTCAAGACTTAAGTCTAATTAAACATACTTGAAACCATATTGTTTTACTTATCCACACCCACAAATCACTTATTTATTGCTCAAAAGGGTTTTTTTTTATAGTAAATTTGTTCAGTAAATACAAAAGAGCTTGTTTATTGATGGTGGTGTGGGTACAGGGTGAGGTTTCATGTGTTGTGTCCCAATTAGCTGGGAAGAGGCAACTAATTATAAATTCCATAGCAAGAAATTTATCTGACAAACTCTTTATAAAAGTATTTGCGTGCATGTAGACATTATTTTATTCTTTACAGCAGAGTGGTGTGACTTGCTCCAAGACCTTCCTCCACACACTTGCCTTAATCACCACTGCAAGGTTGTATAATAGGTGATATACATCATAATTCAGAATTTCTGCAAGGATGGCAAAGTTAAGAGATTCAAAATTACAGCCAGCCAGCAGAGGTGCTGGGGTGAGAAACCAAGTTTCAGACTCCTGAGAACTGTTCTGTACATCCGATCTGATGACGCACATGTCTGCACAGAGCAGCTGGGGTCTGGCACTTCCCACGTGCCGGCGCCTCGGCACATGCCTTTCTCTCCACACAAACCACAGGAAGTGAAGGTCTTACACTGACGATGTCCTGTGTACATCGGCTTACGCTACTTTGGGCCCGTCTCTATTTTTATTCTAATTCCAGGACCCTAAGGATTCCCAAGGAGAATTTTGAAGTTCCAGGTAAACTGAAGAATAATACAAAACACCAGCTAACGAGAACAGAAATTACTTCTGGACATGTTGTGCAAAATGAGCTACCTAAGCGTGGCAGTTTTCATTTTGCGGTGCTTTCTACTACACGGTACTCATTTAGCAACGCATGCTGGGCCCACCGGTCCACTTGGGCAATAATAGAAGAATCTCTTCTGCTTTTTACCTGGCAGTGTCTTGGAACCTGGTTTTACAACAAGGCCACGCGCCCGAATGATCTCCACCTCCAACTGTCCCTTTTTGTCCATCATTCCCACCTGGATGTCACCTAGTAGTGTGTGAGGAAAGACAAACAGGACTTAGTCATATATAGGTGCAGTAAAAAACATGTTGTGCCAAGGGCCCTGGCTGACCATCCCTTTATCCTTCCCACTTGTTATCTCAAATTCATATATATTTAGAATTTTATCAATGATATCTCGCTTTAAAAAGGACACACATGAAATGGGAAAAAATTTAGCTGAAGATGTTTTTAACTGCTAAAACATAAAATATTCATTTCTGCTGATGATACTGTGAAAAACCCTGGAAAACTAGAGAATGTGATTTTCAACAATCTAAAAGAAAAACAAGACCGACAGAAATTCTTACCCATTGCAGGCGTAGCCAGAGTCTGACGCCCCACCAGCTGGGCGGGGCCCAGGCCGTCCAGAAAGTCGCTGAACTGGCTGTCGGAGGCCAAGCGGACACCGGGGAAAATCAGACTAGAAGCAAAAGGACGTACAGGATTAAACCCCGAACCCCTGCTTACACTCAGGCAGCTCAGGTTTCCCTGTGGCCCCCTGTCGGGCCAGGAGCACTTAGTAGCACTATTTTGCCACTGACATTAATTGGATCCCGACACCCGCTCCACCTCCCGTGGTTCGCCCTCCTTATCCTCTGGTGGCCCACGTCTGTCACCAGGAGCAGCGGTCGCACTGGACTGCAGGCCTCTGTGTCTTTCTCTTCCGTTTGGAGACACGGGCTGTGACTTCTAGCAGTGGCCCTCAGTACCTAGCCAACACTTACTCCGTAACTGGCATTACCATATTTAATCATCTCGGGTGCACTATAAGATAGGTTCTATTATTTAACCCGCTTTACAGATGAAGACACTTTTGGGGGATCACTCCCACCAGCGCACAAACATACCACTGTGTCTTCCACTGTGAAAGAAATCCCTCCCCCAATCCCACACCCCCTCCTGCGACCACCCCATTTCTCCTCTTCTCAAACTTCTCAAAAGAGTTGCCTCCATGTGCTGTCTTTGATTTCATTCCTCTCATCCTTCCTTAAAATTCTAGTTTTTCCTTTCTCTTTTTCTTGCTCTATTTTTCTCTACTCCTCTAAAATTTCTCAGGTCAAGGTTACTTAACAGCCACAGTGGTAAATCGAACGGCTAATACTCTATATTAATTCATACTACGACAACAGCATCCTTTGACACAATTAACCTCTGTTTCTTCCTTGAGACCCTTTCTCCACCTCATTTCCCAGACTCTCTCCTGTCCAGGCCCTCCTTTTCGGGCCTCTAACTCAGTCTCCTTTATTAGCTCTGCCACTAAATACTGGGAGGTCGAGCCTTTGACCTCCTAGCATTTCCACGTCCCAGTTCCCTTGGTAGCTCACCCAGTCTCATGGCTTTAAACACCGTCTATGCCGATATAACCGAGGTTGACACCTCCAGTCTGGACTCGCCCTTGGAGTGCAGACCTGTACTCTAACTGCTTGGTCAACATATCTGCTTGGATGTCTGATGGGAAACTGATACATAACTTGTCCCAAATCCCAAACAAACAAACCTCTAACTCTGTTCCCCTCAGAGGGTCACAGTGTCGACCTGCAATTTCACTCTTCCAATTGCTCAAGCTCAGAGTTGTCTTTCCTCTTTGTTACAGATGGAATTGTGTGCCGCCCCTGCCCTCCGGCCCCTACCCTCCCACCATCACAATTCATTCGGTGAAGCCTTAATCCTCAGGACGACTAGGGGGCCTTTAAAGAGGTGCTTGAGATTGAACGAGGTCATAAGGCTGGGGCCTTAACCTAGTATGACTGGTGTGCTTATAAGAAGAGATACCAGACACCAAGAGATGTGCACACCAACAGATGTGCACAGAGGGAGGACCAAGTGAGGCCTCGGCGAGAAGGTGACCACCTCGCAAGGCAAGGAGAGAGGCCTCGGGAGAAAACCCTGCTGACTCCTTGGTCTTAATCCAGAACTATGAGAAAATAATTTCTGTTGTTTAAGCCACCTAGTCTTGGGGTCTTTTGTTATAGAAAACTAATACACTCTCTTTCTCTCATTAGTCACATCAGATGCATCAACAAATATTATTGGTTCTACTATCAGAACGCACCCAGAATCTGACCTCGCTAACGCCGCCACCCTGCCCCAAGCCATCATTTGCCGTCTTCTGCATTTCTGCTACAGCTTTCTGATCGATCTCCCTGTTGCCACCGCAGTCTCAGCCCCCACGGCAATCAGAACCGCCTTCCAGCTGTGAGGCCTCTGCTCCACACGCTCCATTGATTTCTCAGCCCCCTCAGCGTAGAAGCAATGTCTTCCAACGCCATGTAAAGACGACACAAACTGCCCGCCCTGGCTCACCACATCCTGATTCCCAGTCTGATCCTACTCTAGTCCTTACTCCTCAGGGCCGCCTTCCCTTGCTGACGCCAGGAGGCTCCTGCCTCAGGGTCTCCGTACGGCTTCTGCGGAACATTCCTCCCTCAACAGCCAGATGTTCTCCCACTTCCTTCAGATTTTTACTTAAATGTGTCCCTTCGCTGTCTACCCCACATGAAACCCCACCCATATACCCTCTATCATCTCTCTCCCTTTGTTTTTCACCTGAGAACTTACACTACGTAATCTAAACCTACAGTTTACTTAAGGGTTGTCTTGTCCACTACACTGTAAGTCTGGTGAAGGGAGAGCTTGTTTCTTTTCTCCTGTTTTGCTCACTGATACATCTCCAGCACCTAGAACAGTGCGTGGGGTGCTGGCAGCACTTAATGGATACTTGCTAAGCTCAATCATTTAATTAAAATGAAGCCTAGTAACTCTCGAGTTTCTATAGTACCCGCCCCCCTCCGCCCAAACAACCACCAGATGAGAACTGAAGCCTATGTGATTGTAAAGCCCATGGTCTTAACCACCAGTGGACTTGGCTCTCTTGCATGGCTCACACCTCCAACCCCAGCACAGCACCCAGGACACTGGAAGTTCGGGCTCTCTCTGGTGAACGAATCTCTGAGTGTTCGTACCAGTTCTCCAATAAGACTGTGAACGTCTGAAGTGCAGGGGCCAGTGTAAAAAGTCCAACACCCCAAATGCGTGTGGCGTCGCGCTGTGCAGTGCGCTCTGACTTTCTACTCGGTTCTCCATCTCTCCTGAGGCGTCAACTCTGAATCTATTTCTGCCCCAACCTTAATTTCCAAATATACAGTTCATCCAAACATGTTCACGTTTCTACAAGTATCCCACATAACCGTATTCATAAATGCATGGAAACCATGCACGCCCTTTGTGTTTATATAGTCGTGCCAGGCAGGTGACCCGGAGGGCATGCCGTGATATTCTGCCCGCAGTGCCTGCGGCCTCACCTCTGTGAGCTGCCACACAGACGCTGCCTAAACATCTGGTGCAACAGGGTGAGGCCAGGAAACCCCTCTCTCCTCTATTAATGTCATCAACACTCCCATCTCCTGATGTGCAGCTGCTAACTACTGTTAATTTCCTGGTGATGAGGCTACGCAATCTTCATAAACGCTTTAAAATTGCGTACAGATGGTCCAAGGGGAAGCTACACGATACCCACACAGGAAAGGCCCACCAAGTCTCTCCGAGGCGTTCCTTTTTGTCTAGTTACGTTTATCCCAACTGTTAGTGCATGGAAGTAAGTATGCATCGGTATGCCATACTTTTCAGTAGTAACTCTTAGAGCGAATATTTTAAAAGCCAGCACCGTTCAGAGTGTGGCATGAGCACTTATTACTTTTGTGCTTTTATGTGTATTATTGCAAGCTAGGGACAATTTTTATTTGCATGCACTGTGAAATAGTCACATTTTAGCATCTTGCCAGTAAAGGAAGACACACATCTGCACATCTGTTTATCTGCACATCTGTTTCCCTTGACATGAAAAGCCAGATATGCCACAATTCTCAGTGGCAGCTGAGCAAAAGTCCCTTTCACAGCACGAGAGCCAGTGAAAATTAAGAAGGCGCTACGGAGAGTGGGAGCTGGGTTTGTGAGAGCGGAGAGACGGGGCGCAGAGGGCGCGGGTCCCGGCCGGCCCCACTCACTTTCCCTCCGAGCTGTAGCTGTTCATGCTGCCGTCCGTAGACTCCCGGCTCGCCTGTCGGGTCATCCAGTTCCTCATTTCCACTGCCAGGCCGGTCTCTGTACTCCTCTGCACGGTGCTCCGGAGCTTCTTCCCCCCTGCTTCTGCACAGACACGAAACAAAAGGGGCAAGAGCTTTGTCATCACCACCTGGTGACGAAAAATAGGAGCCAGCACGTGGAGGTTCTCAGCAGAAAACAACTGTGCAAATAAATACAAAGTGCTCTTATCAAGGAGAAAGAAAGAAAAGGTTTTTGAAACAGTGTCTTGTTGAGTGGGATGAAAATTTGCTACAAGTCTTCAAAAAGCACAAATACCATTGTTTTATTTCCATTTAAAACAGTGTTCAAATTGGTAACAAAAGAAACAGAAAGGTTGAACCTACGAAAAATAAAATAAGCTTTGTTTTTATTGTAATATTTGAATGCAAGATTAATTTATACCTGTCTTTTTCTTTTTCTTTCTTTTTGTCACAGTAGAAGAACTAAGCCTTCACATTCTTTCCAAAGAACAGGTGGCAATACTCAATTGTAGCCTTAACTTTCACATGAAAACCTATTTTTGTAGGGTGATTGATATTGGAAGGCAAAGCAAGCTACACAAAGGAGACAGCCCTGTTTGGTAACAGTTTCACATCGGTTGGAAACTTCCAGAGAGATTCTCAAAGGAATACAAAAACCCAGCAATGCCATGTAAACAGAGCTTTTTAATTTTTGGTCAGTTATGTCCCGCAAATAGGAAACTGAGCCAAGGACCACAGTCGTGACAGAGGCAGAGGCGCTACCTGAGAGGCCGGGGAGGAAGGGGCATCTTCACAGAGGGTGGGCGGGGAATCTGAGCGGAGCTTGCAGAATGGCCAGATCTGGACCCAGGAAGCAGCAAGAGGAGAGTGCTTTTGCTGAGGGAAATGCATGGACCAAGGTGTACAGATCAGAATGACAACAGGAGCTGAGGGTTGTGCAAACACTCAGACCATGCGGCGTGGTAATGGGGGGGAGGTCAAACAATGTGAGCCCACATTCTAGGAGGCTTTGCATGATAGGAGGTGGAGCTGAGAGACTACTATCACCCTAGCAACAGGGCAATGGTCCGACTTACCAGCAATAATTTACTTCTTGTCAGGTCTAAATATTTACTGGCATTGACCATGCATGTCATTAGCTTTTTTGGGGGGCTTAATAAGCCTTTTTAATGCCTACTATTAATAATTTCATCTTAGATCAATAAATATTTGCTGACATTGCCAGTGACTTATTGAAATCTTTTTCACCAAGCCTCTTACAATATTTGTTTACCATTTTGAAACACTGCTTTAAATTTCATCTATTCCAATTCTGATGTTCATCAAAATGCTTTAAAAAGTATGTACAAAATAAAAGCTATGACTCATTTCCAACTCAGTTCCATTATCCAAGGCTGATATTTTAGACAATTGATAATAAACATGTTGTACTGATATGACCTTAAGCTGGTATAAAGCACCCTCCACTGAGGAGAGAAAGTTCTTTCCAGAGGAGTGCCAGTTAAGAAATGTAAAAGGAATACATATATTTTCAAGTCACCAATTGGTAACCTCCAAGGGAATACATGATTCAAAAAATGCACACGGATGGATGCAAACATCGTTGGGTATTCATATGAGCCAGAAATAAAAGAAAATCATTCCGCAGATTAGTTCTTCTTGTTAAAGAAAAACGTACTTTGCCCCCAGGAGACCTGGCTGCCACTGTCCCCATCAAGTGGCCACACTCAGCACTTCTAGTGGGCGGACACGTGCTTCCTGACACCAACTACACAGCATTGCCTATGGAGTTGTCTCAACAAAAACATACAGCATGTTTCTCATGGGGTCTTTGGAAGCAACTTCTAGTTTCCAACAATGCAGAAGAGAGGGCAGGAACATAAACGACACAATAAAAGAAATCAGACAAACCCAGAACATGGTTTTTTTGTATCAGAGAATTGGCTTAATCTTTTAAAAGAGTTAATATCATAAAAACAAACAAACAAGGTGGGCGAATTGTTCCAGACTTAACAATATCACAGAGATACAACTATTAAGTGCTATGAGTGAGTGGTTTATTTTAGGGGAAATAATTAAAAACAAGAAACCATAAAAGCAAAGCACTTTAAAATCAATTTTAGACATGCAGGGGAAATTTGAATACAGGTTGGATATTAAATGGGAGAAGAAAATTATTCATTTTCCTAGGTAGATAATGGCATGTATTATAAAAAATATCCTCATCACTACAAGATATATGCTCAAGTATTTACACCTGGAATGTTATTTATCTGCAATTTATTTTCAAATGGTGTAGGAAAAAATTTATAAAACAAAAAGGATAAAATGTTTTTTTAAAAGGATGGGGATAAAGAGTAGACCCCCAAATGACCACATCAGAAAGTAAAAACAAAAACAAAAACAAAAACCTAAAACCCAAAACCCAAAACCCAAAACCAACAGACAAAAAACCTGGCTGGTGTGTCTCAGTGAGTGCGGCCTGAGAACCAAAGGGTTGCAGGCCAGGTCCCCAGTGGAGGGTACTAGAGAGGCAGCCACATATTGACATTTCTCTCCCTCTCTTTCTCCCTACCTTCCCCCATCTCTAAAAATAAATAAAATCTTGGGGAAAGAAAGTAAAAAAATAAATTTGTCCAGGTGTGAACTGGAATCACGGAAAGTACGAGGCTGGTGTGAGGGAGCCGGGCCAAGGGCTGAGTCCTGGCCTCTCCTGGCAGCTAATTTACTGCTTGCTTTCTGTGATGCATGCCCTGTTAACACCATCGAGTGAGATGTACAACTTCCATTAAGTCTGAAAATGAGGAGTGAGGTTATGTGCAGGCCCCATGACTTTCAAAAGTGGTGAGATTCCTAAGGGTCTCAGGACACAGCCTTTGCAGTGTCAAAGATCTACTGTTTTTCATGTAATGTCTGACTGTATCACAGCAAAAGTGGAAAAATATGCTGCAAGAACCAGCTACCATTTGTCAGAGAGTAACAATAAAATGAGCATGTCATCCTTTTGTCTACAGATTGCTCTTTACACGCGTCCTCTTCAGAACAACTCTTAACAATCCCATTTTACAGACACAGCATCCAAGTCCCCGGGGGCACATAACTCCCTGAAGCCACACAGAAAAGGGCAGAACTGGAGTTTGTGCGCAGTTCTGACTTCAAATTCTCCGCTATTCCCAGATTGGCTGTCAGAATATAACCATGGGGTAGCCTGCGCCCCAGTCAGCGGAGATGCTGCTAAACTAACTCTGCATGGAATGCGAAGGGACCCGTTAGAAGCAGATGGGTGGGGCGGTGGGGGGTGTGGAAGAGCAGAGCTCAGTGAAGAGGTTAGGTCCAGGCGTCAAACTGCTTCTCTGAACTCCTACTCACCATGTACAGGCTGGGTGACCGTGATTAAGTTACCCTCTCCATGACTCAGTTTTCTCAAACTGAAACGGCGATGATAATAATGATGCCTATCTCATAGGATATTTTCGTTAAAGAAAATAATAAATTTAGAGTGCTTGAGATAGTACCTGATACTCAGAAAATCTTCAATGAATGGCACTGTTACTACTACTGGCAGGTAGGGAATCAGGAAACATGCATCCTGGGCCGTCTCTGAGCTTCTGAGTCAGTCCCCTCTCCACCACTCTGGCTCCTCATTTACAAAACAAAGGCAGGGGGAGGGAAGGGCGACAGGTGGTCTCTGGTCTCTTTCAGCTCTGAAGTCTCTGAGTTGGTATCATTAATGCGTGGCTAACACCATGATTAACGGCGTATATTAAGGAAGAAAATGCTACTCACGATCACCTGATAGAACCAAACAATTCCAGGCAATATGCTGGGCACTGATAAGAGCGCTTTAAAACATGTCTTTTCAATGTACTTTTTTATCTGATACATTTGCAGACACTTAAAAAGTAAAAGTATTTCTCAGCACCAGAAATCCTTTGCATCACATTCACAATAAAAATAGCAACCTAAATATAATTTATTACAGTGATTCACATTTAGTGTTCCAAATGCTCTGTCATGTTAGCCTGAAAACTGCATCTACGAAACACCAAATGTCTCCATAAAGGTGGATGTGGCCGGCAGAATTCTAAGATGGCCTATTGATTCTTTTACTTTACATGGAAAAGGGGTTTTGCAGATGTGATTATAGTTACTAATCAGTCAATGTAAAGGGGTGGAGATGATCTGAGCAGGCCTAACATAGCCACATGAGTCCTTTAAGAGCAGAGTGCTTTCTCTGGAATGTTCCAGAAGAGACTGCAGGGAAGACCTGAAACACCAGGAGGACTGAGTGTCCTTCGCTGCTGGCTTGAAGGTGGGGGGGCCTCTGCAGAAAGGGCCTGAGAGCAGCCCCTCGCTGCTGACGGACTGTAAGTAAACAGGACCCCAGTCCCACGGCTGCATGGGACTGGAGTCAGCCACCACCTGAGTGAAGCAGGAACAGATGACCTTCCAGAGCCTCCAGACCAGAGCCCCCCCTCCCCGGCCAACACCCTGATCTCAGCCTCATGATTCCTAAGCAGGAAACCCAGCCACGGCACATGAGACCTACACAGCTGTGAACTAATAAATGGAGGTTGCTTTAAGCTACTAAACTTGTGATAACTGGTAATTAACGATAAGTAACTTTTTAGGTAATGTTTAATGGAGAGATCTATGAAAATAATTTATTGCAACCATAGGAGTGGACCAACTGAAATTATTTGTAAGAACTCAACAGCTGTGATTAAAAAGTGTATGTATTTTTTAAAAGTTTATATACACAGTTACCCTACACACATATACATGTACACTGTATGTGTGTGTGTGTGTGTGTATGTGTGCGCCTGCGTGCGAGTGAATCAAGATGTTTACAAATACTCAGGTAAACTAAGGCCCAGATTGTGTTAAGAGCCCTTGAACCACTAACTCTCCTATCAGGTATTTTAAGTCAATGTGCATTTGGAGAAGATGCCTGCAGCTAAAAATCAGGTTCTTGACTTGCAAAGCCGCAAGAGAGCAAGCTGAACACAGGAGGTGTCCTGTCAGTTCACTCAGCTTAGTCTGATGACTCATTTACTCCACACCCGCTGCATTCAGAGAAAG